GGCCTTAAAAGAGGGGTATGTTCGAATCACAACAGTACCCCTGAAACCTTATATCAGTAATCAATATCAATCTATAATTTGGAAGATAATGGTGTTTTCTGGATTGAGAGCTCTCTAGGGTACCGTTATTAGTGAATCGGACATTCAAAGAAATTATAGATGAATGAATTAATGAATGAAAGGATGTGGATGAGACTAAACTAAACTTTATAACTTAATCCAGGATATGTGTGAGAAGACTGATTTAATTAACAAACTCCAGAAGAACTTGGAAACCCTAAACCAACAATATTTATCCCTACAGGTTCAATTTAATATATGTATAATCAATAACATCGAATAATATAAAAACCTTAACTATCAAACCGATAAATTCAAGGTGCTCGGAACTAAATATTTTTCTCAAGCTCAAATTTTCTAATTCTCATACTTTTTTAACCTGTTGTCTTTAATTTGCATTTTAATTGCAAAGAAAGGTTATATAAAAAAGTGATTGCTAATATGTCATGGTTAAATCAAGCTAAAAATATGGTATAACCGTATACATCCATGAAAATGTAACCATCACTTAGGCGAACAAATTATTTTTTAGACCAAAATGTTGAAAGATCAGGAGGAAAGGGAAACAGACAAACAGAATGAAATGAAGAAGAAGGAAGAAGAGAAAATGAGAATAAAGAAGATGGAAGATGTTGAAAGAAAAATGAAAGAGAGACAGGAGGGGATTGAAAACGATCTTCGTTTACAGATCTTAAATCTGAACCAGAAACTGGAATCTACTTTACAAGGTTCAAGTTAATTTTATCAATCTTTTTTTTACAATTTTCTATCTTTTTAATTTTTTTGATAAAATGTTTATAAAATAGATGGTATAAGTCAGGATTAAGAATTGTTGTAAATGCCAAACGTCCGCTGGCCTTCTTGCTGTTTCTCTTTGGAATTAATTTTATCAATCTAGAAATCAAAATTATTCACTAGTTGTAACATTTTTACAAATAAATAGGATCAAAATACTATTTGGATTTGGTTAATTTAACAAAAATTTCATACACTAGGCTTTTCTGTTTAAATTGTGTTCATGTTTTTTTTGTTTACATTTTAAAACAAAGAAGAAAAAAATATTGCGGATTTTCAAAAATTTAAATTTTTTTACAAAATTAAAAACCTTTAAAACACATTTTTTAAAATTTTTATCATTCATAAACCTTCCCTGTGGTCATGTGATGTCCCATAAAAAATTTGGGCCCGATCGGTTCAGCCGTTTTGACGTTTATTGGATACAAACAAACAGACAGACAAATCAAATTTATATAAAGATGAACTCTTTTATTTCAATACTATGAAACAAAACGTCGCAATTGTAATGCATGTGTGTAACTACAACAGGTTGGTTTATGGCAAGGTTTTGCGACGATTATTTAAATTCCACGGGCAACGCCATGCTTGACACGTCAGCTAGCTTACATGTCTAAATAAAAAATGAATAATGTATTTTTTGTGAGGGTTTTGCATGATAATAACGCTTACTTTGAGCTCTTTCATCCTTCAAGATAATAATAAAGAAAAAGAAAAAAGGTATTCTAAGTTTTTTATTCATAAAGAATTGGTATATTAATAAATTCAATTATTAAGATTTATATATGTTCCTGATTTGAAAATGATGAGTGCTGTATGGACTAGATAGGCTCCAAGAAAAAGTGTTAACAAGTTTCTCAGATCTAAATAGAATTAATAAAAGGCACAATAAAAATCGGTGTTTTTAGCTTTGAGTGTTTAATTCAAACAATCTTACTCCAATGTTTCTAAAGCAGAAATCCGAAAAACATTTTTTAGAGAACCCACGATAAAAATGAACAATTTTCGAAGAGACCATGCTAGATATCCATGCTTTCTTGATCAAATAAAGGATTTAAGGGTAACGGACATGCCACTCTATAATCGGATAGTAACTTGAAATTACGTAAGAAAATGTTTTATAAACACTGAACATGATAATTTTGTTCAACGTAACTTCAAAAACTTCCCACTTCAACTTGTAGTACATACATACAGAGAATTTGATGTCGTTTTAGTTTGCTTAAAAACTGAATCCTTGAATAAAATCTATAATTTTCTGTAAAAATTAAGTTATTTTTCCCAAATAGGAGAAATCATTTTCCCAAAAATATTTACCCCAGCAATAAATTTAGAGGATAAAATGTTAAAGATCAATATTTGAAAAATATATGTAATGCCAGTCACCGGTAGTACCCTTCCTACCCCCCCACCCCCAACCCGGCTGGAATAGTTGGGGGCGGGGGGCCGGAATGGAACGGGTATTATGGCCCCTCAACTTTCTGCGGTCTGGGGTGTCCATTACAGAGTTCTATTAAGATTCCTATTCTAAATATTTCTTATTTATATACCTGATATAGAAGTGATGAGGGAGATGGATCCCATGGTCCAATCACAGCATAAGTTTGCTGGGCAGAGAAGGAGTCCTATATTGTATGCGGGCAGGACTAAGTAACTCAGGGTACGGGATACAGGTGCAGCTACACTCGCAGGATTATCAAACTTGGTAAACACAGGTAAACTCGATCCCTGCAGTATGAGAATTTAAATTTGAGCGGCGGTTTAAATTTAAGTCGCGGCTTAAATATGGTTGGTTCCACTTAAAATTGTATTAAATGTTTCAAGATTTAAGCCGGCGCTTAATTTAAACCGGGTTTCGGCGGATTTAAACCACGGCTCAAATTCTTTAAATTCCATCTCAGGTTGGATATTGTAATTACTAAAGGGCATGTTTTAAGGCCCGTTTTAAACATTCAAAGTTTTGAGGCTTTTTTAAGGCTTGACAAGAATCTAAGATGCAAATCCTAATTCAAAATTATATGCTAGACAAGTTTAATTTTCTTACACACAGCTTAATTTTTACTCTTATCAAAGATTTTGCCCAAAACAATTTTTCAAAACGGAAAACGATTCTACTAATCGTTTTGAAAAATCGTTTTGATCAATTTCTTGTATCAGAGTTAAAAAATTTGGTGTGTGCAATAAAAGCAAACTTGTCTAGCATACAATTTAGAAATATGATTTGCATCTCAGATTCTGGGAGATGGGCGGGGAGGGGGGTAATCTTACTAGAAAATATATCCCCTTGTAAAAATATTAATGACCTGCATTAGTTTAATCCTGAAGGTGAGAAGTAAAACAGCTGTGACGGTCAGAACAAGTACACGTACCAATCCAGGTTCATTTAATAAACCCTTCACATACAAACTTATCAGAATTTATCCAGATTTATCAGAATTTATCCAGATTTATCAGAATTTATCCAGATTTAACAGAATTTATCCAGATTTGTCATAATTTATACAGATTTATCAGAATTTATCCAAAATTATCAGAAATTATCTAGATTTGTCATAATTTATCCAGATTTATCAGAATTTATCAGAATTTATCTAAATTAATTAAAATTTATCCAAATTTATCAGAATTTATATAGTTTTATCAGAATTTATTCAGATTTATCAGAGTTCATTCAGATTTACACGAATTTATGCAGATTTATCAGAGTTTATCTGGATTTAACAGAATTTGTCAAAACTAATTAGAATTTTTCCAGATTAGTCAGAATTTTTCCAGATTTATAAGAATTTACAGATTTTTTCAGAATTTGTCCAGAATAATCCGAATTTATCCAGATTAATCAAAATGTATCAAGA